TGTGACTCCAACCAATATATTAGTTATTAATTTGAAGGCAATAGAACCATTTGTGGTGTTTTTTTTTTTATAAATCTTGGAATACATACATATATATATATATATATATATATATATATTTTTTTTTTTTTTTTTTTGGGTAAATATACATATTATTTTTATATATGCATTTGATATTGTTTATTTGTTTTTGTTAATGAGTGGTTAGTTGTATAGGATTATTGTGTCATCCCATTGAAATCCAGAGCCCAAATTTAAGAACCACTGTACTGATTGAGTATCGAAATGACAGTATCCATTGTATGTTTGAAATCTATTCTAGGTTTTAAGCTGCTGTATAGCTTGTTTTAAGTCTATCCTTTTCTCTATTCAAGTTTATTGGTCCTCTCTGTTTATTCTTCCTAAGAAGATCATTGCTGCCAATAATCAAACTTTGATGAGATTTTTATGGAAGGGCTCTTCCCTTGATATTGGTGGATGCAAGGTTGCTTGGTCAATCCAACTCCATATGGTGCAAATGGATACTTACCTATCTTCGTAGAGCTAGGTAAGAATTTTTGGTGTTGGGGACAGATGTTGCTGCTCAAAGATGCTCTTAAACTAAAATTCAAGCATATCATAAACTCAGGGAAAAATAACCTCTCTATGGCTCTCTTACCTAAGGGTCATAGAGTAATTCATGATTCAGCGATTCCAATATTGGAAGCAAAGGTTGCTGACATCGGAGTGGGAATGGCCCGAGACGTCTCATACTACTAATGTTAGGGAGCCTGGTTTATTGACTCGTTAAATAAATTATCTCTTTAATTTGCTAAGACAAAAAATTATAATAATAACAATTAATATTATTGACTAAATTATCTCTTTTGAAAACAAATTATCAAAAAAAAAAAAGTTACCTCTTTTTGACTAAATAAAATACTTGAAAAAAAGTTAAACTTTATTACAAAATAGGAAAAAGTCACTATTGAATTTTTTTTTTTTTTTTCTTTTTTTTTTTTTGCTAAACGAAAATTATTTCTATTGAATAAATTATCTTCTTTGACAGCACCTCCAAAAAATGAGAAAAAAAAAATAGTAAAAAAGGTAAAAAAAAAAAAAGAGTTAAAGTTGGTTAAAGAATATTTATGACATTATAAAATAAGGAATGATGCATAGGAAATGATATTTACACCGACGTTACGCACCGAATTGTTAGGCAAAATGATGTGGTAGTTCAGTTGGCAGATAACATCATTTCTCTCTCTTGCACAAAAGGCTAGACAATCTGAAGTCAGTGTTCCATGTCCCTTAGTAGAAGCTATTCAATCTTTGCCTTCTTGTTGACGAGTTCTGAAGGGAAGGAGTGATCTCTCCCTATAAAGGGGATGTTGTAGTCAACACAATGAAAGCGCTTTCCTTCAGATTATGAATTCGTCGAGCAATTAAAAAGGAGGCTTTAGGAAGGGTTCTGTAACGGACAGCAAAGAAAAGCCCTAGCAAGGGGGTTGGATCTTACCTTTTTCCTCCCTTTCTAATCTAACGTCATTAAGCATATTAAAAAGAGAATCAGTCTTACCGGCCTCTGTGGTGAATTTGATGGCCAGCAATTCTATTTCTATGGTCAGTGCGAGCTACTTTTTCTTAATCATCAGCGGGAAAAGCCGACTTGAACCCAATTTTTCAATGGCATTTTTTTTCCCCTCTGATTCAACGCGAATAAAGATCAACCTCCTTCCCTCGCCTAACCCGCTTTCCCCTTGCCTAATTGCTATCTCAAATCGGGAAGCGTTGGACTAGTTTAACCTTTCTATTAAGCAAATAACGACCTTTTTTTTTTTTTTTTTTTTTCCTCCGATTCGACGCGAATAAAGATCAACCTCCTCCCCTCGCCTAACCCGCTTTCCCCTTGCCTAATTGTTATCTCAGATTGGGAAGCATTGGACTGGTTTAGCCTTTCCATTGAGTTCCATGGTTGGATATGTTATGATGGGAGGCTCAGCTAAATTGGAAGAATCTGTTTGTTCATCCCCTTGCAAAAATAGATACCGTAAAAGTCTCCATTCGCTCTCATGGCCTATTTAATCGAGGCCTTGTGAAAGTTGTCGAATAGGTGGTTCCATCATTTTCTAATGTTTGGGTAGTCCAAATCGCTTACTCCATTCTGAATGAATTGTGTGGCTGTAGAAAGGCTTAAAAACTTGCGATTGAGAGTTGTTCAGGTCAATTCTATTTATTTATTTATTATTTTTTTTTGGTTCTTAAATTTTGCTTTGTATATTTTGGCGTCCTCTATGTTTTGTTCTAGTATCTGGATTATTTGTCTAGTGGTTTTGGATTGTATTTGGATTCAATCAAAAGCTGTTTACTTTCTTGAAGCCTTCTTTTTATTCTCAATCATTTTTGTAGTGGTTTTTTTTTTTTTTTTTTTTTTTTTTTTTTTTTTTTTTTTTTTTTTGGCCAATTATGTTTTGATACTTGGAAAATGGGTACGTTTATAATTTCATGAACTAGTTTTTTGGTTGAAAGGTTGGGATTGTGTTTGGAAGTTCAAAAAGGAGAATTGAAGTTAAAAAAGGAAATGCAAACAAATCATCATAACACATATTGAAACAAATGATGGACATTGTTGAATGAAACAAATCCAGAACTTGTTCATTAAGTTGTAAACATTCATCGGATATATTTGATGATGCAATGAACAAATAATGAAAGATATCACCAATACAATTAGCAAAACATCATTGAACAAGTCATTGCTCCATGAATTGATCTCCAAGTCATATATTCACTCCAAAAATTATACTCTTTCATTGAAAAAAAAATGATGATAGGGGAATTCAATCTCTAGTCTTGAAAATTAAAGTTTGTGTGATGGGATGCATCCCATGGAGAACCTGCATAATAATGAGAAACAACCCAACATTAGATACATCTCTAGCTTTCATTAACACTTCATAATTCAGCTATAACACATACACAATGCACAATGAATAGTCTTTCTTAAAAAATATGACATAACTATACAAAAATATAATTAGCATGACTAAAGAAATGCGCAAAAAATATAATTAACTTGAGTGTAAACCTATAGAAGAGGGAAAAAGGTAAGATTCTCCCAAGATGGATTGTTCATGGGTATGTAAATTGAAGTCATCCCATTATGCATGTCGTTACATAGATGAGTTGAAGTAGTCTGTTAACCAAAAAAAATAAAAAAAATAAAAAAATATAAGAGATAATGCAGTATGCATTACCTTAAAATAAATAAATGAAATGTATAACAACTTTGACATGGACACTTAAATTACCATAAATATGAAACTTTTAGGCTATAAAACTAAAAGGAAAACAACAATGTAGGTTGAAATTTTTTACTATGTTGCCTTTTTCCTTTTCTTTAGTTGTATGCTACTTCCACCAAGTTTGTTCTTTTGTTTTGCCTGAGAGACCTACCAACAAAGTATAGAAACAAAAATTAATTTAACATATACATATATATATATATATATATATATATATATATATGGCATATATTATAAAAATACCTTCTTTCCTTTCCTTGTTATTTTGTTAACTAATGATTCTTTTCTTTTTTAAGGTGGGCGACCATTGGTGTGCACTTTTAACAAAGTAAGCAACTTACTGCTAGCACCAGGAATTTCAAGGAGATTATTGTTACATTCAACTTGTTGCATTTTTTTACTTTCAGAATTTGGGCCAGTTATAAGGAGCTTCTCCTTCACCTCATTCAATAATTAAACTAAAAGCTACATCTATCATTGGACTCTGTTCCAAGCTCTTGAAGTTCATGAAATAGTGGATTCAACTTATTATTGCAGTGCCTCTATTCATTATTGGTAAAATCATCATAAGTATTTTAGACGAAAGTGTACCCACGCTTAATATCCTTTCGCCAATGTTCAAGACTATAATGAGATGGAACCTCATTCACCTTTTCTTTGATCATCACCGACACTGCATGCCAACATAAAATGCCCTCAAATTTAAACAGATGGCATGTACATTGTACTTTACACTCAGTCATGTTGTAAAAAACTTGATAATCGACCTCTTTCCAACATATGCCATGTTTTCCTACAACACTTTCAAATGTGGAAATTAGCCCTTCTTTCTTAACGAAAGAGACATTATAACACATCAAACCCTTCAACTCATCTTGAAATTGCTTAAAAATGTTGTGGGTGTACACATTCTGTAACTGCCTTTCAATAGCAAAAACAGATATTGTCGGAATGGTAGACTAAAAGATACAAAATCTGCCATACTTTCTTTCTCGGCCTTACTTTTTATGGCATTGTCATATTGTTCAACAAATTACCTCAAGTTAGTTTTTGAGTGAAAATACCCGTCAAAAAATGCATTCATGCTTTCATTTCGTTAGGTTGTTGAAATTCCAGCCCAAAAAGTGAATTTCAAAAACATTAAACCCAATGATGACAATCTGCATATAATGACATCAACCATTCATTATTCTCAATATTATACTTATTAATCATTTCTACCCAACTTTTTTCAAACTCATCAGGCTTAAGTGATTCATATATAATATTTTTCAATATCTTTTTAATTGATTTATATTGAGCAAGTGCACCCAACTGCACAAGAATAATTTTCATGATGTGCCAAAGGCATAAACGATGATGAGAATTTGGAAATACCTTTAAGATTGTTACAACAACTTTGGGAGCATGTCCTAACATACATTCCAACCACGCCTCAAATAACCAAGTATAAGTGTTAGTATCCTTATTAGATAATAAACCACAACCAAGTAATATAGACTGCCCATGATGATTAACCCCGACAAAAGGAGCAAATGGCATGTTATACCTATTTGTAAGATATGTAGAATCAAAGACAATAACATCTCCAAATGACTGATATGTGGCTCTACATCTTGCATCCACCCAAAATACATTCTTTAACTGCCCTTCATCATCTATATCAATCGTGTAAAAGAAGTTTGAATTCCTATTTTGCATTCGACAAAAATACTTCTAAAGTGCTTCTGCATCTCCAATCCCAAGTCTCAATTGTCTTGCTTTTGCTATGTAATTTCTACAATCTTTCTCATCAAACGATAATTTTTCATAGCTACCAGCTTCAACAGCAAGTGCATAAAAATTTTTATTCAACTTTATTCCTGCTAAGTCATTTAATTCCAATCTTCTCTTAAAATGAGAATCTAGTGCCTTGTCACATCTGAAGTACCGTACCTTACTTGGACTTAATGCATGATTATGATCAAGAAAAACACCAGTGATGGTGAAATTCCTATCCTCTTTACCTGTAACATTGATTTTTGCGTTGCAATTTGTCTTAGTTGAAGGCCTTGGGTTAAAAGAGTTTTTTGCAATAGATCTTGACTTGCCATTCTGAGAGCATGCAAGTGAAGAATATATTGACTTACTTTCACTTTCGTTCTTTACGCTAGTTTTTGCAACACCAAAACGTTGCATAACTGTAATAATAATTATGAATTTCTTCTTCGGACTGAAAAATCATCCCAGCCTTGGGTATTTCCACTTCATCCTCAACTAGCATTCCTTCTAACTCTTCATCCTTACCTAGCATTCTTTCTAACTCTTGCTCAGTTCCTTTACCATCTACCAATATCATGATCACAATGCATTAATTTCAACATCTTATACTTGTTCTTCTTCTATTTCTAATCAAATTAAAAACATGCAAGTATTGATCAATAAAGCAAATCAATAAAGTAAAGATATTAACAAATTTAAGTATTATGAAACAATTATTGAAGTCTCATTCCAATCAAAATTGGTTACATTATCACTATTTTTAATTTTTATTCCTTACTTTTATATAAGACAAAACTTCCACATGAATCATGAGAACATGCTGTTAAAGAAGATGTTGTTGATGAGTACTCAAATATGACGCATTTTAGCCCCTAAGGTAGGGTATTTTAGTCTATTTATCTATCTTACTTTCATGTTTTAATACTTATTTTTGTTTTTGCCTATTTAAGGTATGTTGGGTCGTTACACAAGCTTGAAAAGAGCGTGCACTAAGGCGAGGGCCAAGTTTTACATTTATAGAAGCCACTACTACCTTTCACTAAAAATATAGCTAGGGCGAGTAGGGATCGTCCCAAGGGATTGGAGTCGGAGTTGATTGTGGAATCGCTATTAGGGTTAGTAGGTCAAGTGATCAAACAATTGGTTAGTTGGTTGATTAGATGACAACTAAATTAAACTAACTAATTGAATGCAATAAGGAGTAAGTAAGAGAGAGAGAGAGATCTTGGGGTTTAGAGATCACCACCAAGCAATGCATTTCTATATCATTGAGAAGTGACTAATGAGGGCAATTGGGGTGTTACAATATTGGTGTGTGTGTGTTTGGTTGATTCAACAAGGAAGGATGACTAGTTAAGCATGTATTGTCTAAACATCATGTGAAAGGTACAATATATCTAAGCAATGAAGCATATATTGTCTAAACAACATGTGGAAGGCACAATAGATCAAAACAAGTCATTAATCCTTTCATTAGGCTCACAATCCAAATACAACATAAGATTAGAGACATATGCTACTTGTATTCAAAAGCTTGGATCATTAAACAACAAGCATAGATTGTCCTCCAATTTAACACTACACTACAACTACACTACATCTACACTACTAGCATGAAAGTAAACTAGGGGAGAGACACAATCCATCAAGGAATAGGTATAAACCATTAAGAGAATCACAATAGCATTCCTTTAAGCATTATGTCTTGACAATCTTTAAATCTATAGCATCAATACACATAGACATGCATCAACAACACAAAATCTAGAGACAAGAACATGAACATCTATTCTAGCATACATAGACATATGGATAGAATGAACTGATCAATTGGAAGCATTAAACCACATAAATCATTGAATAAATAGGATCTATATATATCAAAGTGTCAAAACATTAATTACAACACTAATCCCGCAATAGTACACAAGATTAAGATATAGAAAGCATGCTTAGGGCTAACTCTAGCCCCAAGAGGATGTCTAGCCACTTATGGTGAGGATGCTCCAACCCTCAAGGGCTAACTCCATGGAAGAGATTTGCTCCTTGTTGATGAAGAACTCCAATGGTGTCTCTAGCCTCCTCTCCTCTAAGCTTGCCTCCAAGAGATGGTATATGGCTCTAAGTGTATCTATCTAGGTAACTCTATGTATATATCTCATAAAAAGCAAACATTATCCTTGTATAAGTAGGTTAAATGACTCCCCAAATGAGCTAGGGTCGTGCACACAATATTCACCAATGATTGGATAAAGGACAACTTTCAATGAGCTGGAATTTTAACTTTTTGCACTGGAGGAAGTTCGATCGATCGAACCTTAGACTTGAATCGATCAAACTGGCTGAGATCTATCAAACTGAGGTTGGATCGATCCAACTGGCTGAGCTTTTTGAAAAAAGACAAATCCAAGATATTTTAGGAGATATTTTTGGGAAAAGGACAAAAGTGGTTAGCGGGTGGACAGCTATAGATAAGATCAATCATTTGGATAAGGACAAAAGTGTTCGATCGATCGAAGAATGATGTTGGATCGATCGAACTTTTGGACTTAAGTGTTTTTGGGCCAAGACTTGGATCTATCTTGGAATGCTGAGATCAATCAATGTTCGATCGATCGAACCTTTGACTTGGATCGATCAAACTTGCTGCCTTGCTTTTTTTGCTTCATTCTTTCTCCACTTTGCTCTTTTCTTTGTTTAATCTTAGAATTGCTTCAATTAAGCTCTTATTTGGCTGAGTTAGCTTATTTTCGGGATAAGTGCCTAAAAATGGAAATAATACGAAATCAATCTAAAATGGCAAAGTAAAATAGATAAAGGTACTAGAATGCCTAAGCTTAAGGGGTTTAAATAAGCATTTTTCAGCGCTCATCAAGGTCAATAAAGTTCAAGCAAGCTAAGAAGAGCCATTTAGCTCATATTTTGAGTTAAGGAGCAAATCTGGAAAAAAGTCAGAAAATTGCAACAGTGAAGTTTCGATCAATCGAAGGAAATCCTGATCGATCGAAGAAATGTACAATCGATTGATATCAAGGCGGTGCCAACTCAGCAATCTGGATAAGGCCAAGAAGATATTTTCATGACATGTCAGTTTTGATAGATCGAAGTAAGTGTTTGATCGATCGAAGTTCTCTTCGATTGATCGAAGTAATTGTTGGCAGTGTGCTGTATAATTCCCGAGCGCGCCCGGACTCTACCTACTTTTGTAGCTGCGAATTTTTACCAGTCAAAGGCAGTATTTCTGACTTGTTGCCTACTCAAAGAGACTATTAATAGATTAATTGAACCAATTTGTAAAAAAGTTCCTCTAGTTGATATTTTACCATAGATAGAAAAAGTTTCTCTCTCTATATATTTTTGGAATGCTACTACCTCACAAACTAGCTCCCCTATCTGGAAATCAATGATTGTTGTTAGGGAAGTGATGCAACAGAATGTTTGTTTTGAGATTGGTGATGGCCAGCACATAAAAATCTTTAGGGATCCGTGGTGTAAAGGGCAGATGTTCAGCTCGTTATTTGGCCATAGAGTGGTCAGAAGTATGCATCTCCAAAGGGATGCTTGGTGGCTCACGTCGCACCACCACAAGCTTGAGAGTGTGCATTAAGGTGAGGGCCAAGTTTTACATTTATAATTTGCCACTACTACCTTTCACTAAAAATATAGTTAGGGCGAGTAGGGATCGTCCCAAGGGATTGTGAGGGTCGCAAAAGGTTGTCGAATCAAGATTAGGGTTAGTAGGTCGAGTGATCAAAGGATTGGTTGGTGGTTGAATTAAGCTAAGATGCACTTTAAACTAAACATTAATGCAATAGAGGTAAAATAAGAGAGAGAGAGCGAGAGATCTTGGGGTTTAGAGATCACCACTAAATATAGCTCCTCTACACCTTTAATGAATGATTACTGAGGGGAAAGGCATGTATTGTGACAATGGTGTGTGTGTGGTTGTTTCAACAAGCATGGATGACAAATTAAACATACATTGTCTAAGCAACATAGTGGATAGCACAACATATCAAATTAAGCCATTAATCCTCTTTTTAAGCCCACAACCAAACACAACACAAAATTAGAGAAATATGCCTCTTGCATTCATGAGTATAGAACATCAAACAACAAGCATGGATTGTCCTCCAATTTAACATCTAGCTACCACTACAACTAAGCTAATGACATGAAATTAAGCTAATTAAACTAAAGGAGATGCATAATCCATCAAGAAATAAGCATGAACCATCAAATAAACCACAAGGACATTCCATTAAGCACTATGTCTTGACAATCTTTAGATCTATAGCATTAATACACATAGACATGCATCAACAACACAAGATATAGAGGCAAACACATGAACATCTATTCTAGCATACATAGACATATGGGTAGAATGAAATGATCAATTGGAAGCATTAAACCATACAAATCATTGAATAAACAAGATCTATATATATAAATATGTCAAAACAAGTATCACAATACAAATTCCCTTAAAAATACATAAATCAAGATGTAGAAAACATGCTTAGGGCTAACTCTAGCCCCAAGAGGATGTCTAGCCACTCATGGATGGTGTCCTCCAACCCTCAAGGGCTAACTCCATGGTAGCGATTTGCTCCTTGGTTGATGAAGAGTCTCCAATGGTGTCTCTAGCCTCCTCCTCCTCTTTTCTTCCTCCCTAAGAGTTCTCTAAGGTATACTATAATATGAGATATGATATATGTAAAAAGTAATCCTTATCCTTATATAGGTAGGTCAAATGACACCCAAAATGAGCTAGGGTTGTATAGCAAATATTCTCCAATGATTTGATAAAGGACAACTTTTGTGAGCTGGAAATTTAACTTTTTTGCACTGGAGGAAGTTGGATCGATCGAACCTTGGACTTGGATCGATCGAACATAGCTGAGATCTATCAAACTTAGGCTGGATCAATCCTCAATGGCGGCGCCTTTTGGGATAAAAACAAATCTGAGATATTTTAGAGATATTTTTGGGAAAAGGACAAAAGCGGTTGGTAGGGTGGTACAGCTGGATAAGATCTGGCATCTGGATAAGGACAAGAATGTTCGATCGATCGAAGAATGATGTTGGATCGATCGAACATTTGGGATCTCTGAAAATTGCATCATGGCTTGGATCTATCTTGAAGTGCTGAGATTGATGGAAGTTCAATCGATCGAAGACTGATGTTGGATCGATCGAAGATGCTGAAATTCCACCTTTGTGTTTCCTTTTGCTCAACTTTGCTCCTTTCTTTGATTCATCCCAAAATTACTTCATTTCTGCTTTTATTTGGCTAAGTTAGTTTATTTAGGGGATAAGTACCTGAAAATGAAAATAACACGAAATCAATCTATGGCGGGAAAATAAGATAGATAAAGGTCCTAGAATACCTGAGCTTAAGGGGTTTAATGCGG